TATAGATATATATATATATATATATATATATATATATATATATATAATATATATATATATATATATATATATATATATATATATATATATATATATATATATATATATATATATATATATATATATATATATATATATATATATATATATATATATATATATATATATATATATATATATATATATATATATATATATATATATATATATATATATATATATATATATATATATATATATATATATATATATATATATATATATATATATATAATTTGATAAGTGTTTCTCATATTGTCCCACAACAACATCACTATAGTATAGAGTAGTGTAGAATGTTTTATAATAATAATAATAATAATAATAATAATAATAATAATAATAATAATAATAATAATAATGATTCAACATATAAATTCTTGACATATTTTCTATTTAAAAAAGTAAAGCATAAGTTACTTTTTCTGGTAATTAGGTAGTTTTATATTAATGTATTCCAGTTGCTAACTTTTAGTAACATGCCCAACATTGTTGAAATGAGATGTAATACAGTGCATTGACATATAAATGTTTTATTTACGGAGGGTCAGAGGTCATTGTAGTGTCACTCAGTACAGGGGGTTGCCTCATGGATACGTCGCTCTTCAGAGACACACCACTGAGTTCAGAAGTACCAGATTTCTGTCTCTTCCTCCTCCTAATGTTGACCAAATGTTGACAAACAAACAAAAAAACAAACAAAAACTCAACAGTAGCTACAGTGTATATCTCGAAAGTACCACTGTTTTGCGTCTTAGTACATTCATTTGGTGGTTCATCACACTGTGGCGACCCCTGATTAATAAAGGGACTAAGCTGAAAAATAAATGAATGAATGTCTGTCATATTGTCCCACAGCATCAATAATATAGTATGGAACAGTGTAGACTGATGTATGTGAGTAATTCAGGTAGTAATAATTAGGTACTTTTATAATATAATTTGATTACTTTTTGTGAAAGCAACCAGTATCTATAATTACTTAAGTAACATGCCTAACATTGTTGATTTGAGATGTAGTACAGTGCATTGACATATGAATGTTATACTCACAGAGGGTCAGAGGTCACTGTAGTGTCACTCAGTACAGGAGGTTGACTCATGGATACGTCGCTCTTCAGAGACACAACGCTGAGTTCAGAAGTGTCTGATTTATGTCTCTTCCTCCCCCTAAAGCAAACAACAAGCAAACAAACAAACAAAAACTGAGCTGTAGCAAAAGTGTTTACAGTATCTTGAAAGCATAATTTTCAAGCAGCTAAATGCATTAACATAGCAGATTCTTTTTATCAATTTGTATTTGAACAAAAAAAGCAATTAGTAATTTTATAGAAAAGCTAACACAAATACACAGGATAGAGAGGACAAGGTCAAGCTTACAAAACCTCACAGGAGGACAGCTAGAACTGTGACAAAGACTTGACTCCCGTACAAGCATATACAAGAAAGCTGAAAACAGACCTTCCTGATCTATAAAAATGCATGGATATGAAGGGGATGAGAATATTTATGTGGCCCGTGGGTATAAAACTTGTTTTTCAAAACAGTCTTAACTCCTGTTCACACCAAGGATCTATTTATTTTTTTGTTATATGCTTTTTTTTGCATTAGCCTCTTGTGACCAGCAGATGTCCACGCTGTGCTGTATTTCTAGCGCATCTGACCGGTGAATCCAGCTTATGTACTCTATATTCAAACAGTGAATTCAGCAATCACAGTCAGTTTAATGGCAAAAAAAGGAGGAAACAAATGAGGAAACATGCATATGCTGAAACTATACTGTAAACCTGAAGTGCTTTTATTTTAATACTTCAATCTGCCAGCTTATCTAGCATAACTTCCATGTGTTTTTATAATTGTTTCCCATAGTTTAATGAATTGTTTTCAAGATTATCTTTAAATAATGTTTTAAAATACAGCTTAACATCAAGCAGAGTTTGTCTGCAGCTTTAAATAGTATTAGCCCTTTATATTTCAGTGATTCTGACTGGCTTTCAGTGTTTTATCATTTATTAGCTGGAAAAATCCTCCTTAAAGCTAACCTAACAATGTCATTACTCTACATCTTTATGGTTATCGCTGTGGTCTGAACAACTGCTGTTGTTATATACTCAGAACAGTATTTACAACGTCTTTACCACTATCTTAATAGTTATCGTGCTAAGTGTGAATGAGCCCTTAAACTTTGACTTTAGAGTACAAGTAATATAAAAGTAGGGATTAATTACAGGTAGAAACTTTTAATAAAGCACTCAAGACCTTAAGATTAAGACCTTAAAAATTTAAATACACGATTATTTTTTATAATGGCAGAAATGGAGTATAAAAACAGAAAATAGACAGCTGGGGGACCTGGGTCCTAGAAATTGCTTGTTTAAAACTGTGGATAATAGCATGAATAATTCCTTATTGTGACAAATACAGCACATTGGATGATGTATCAGTGCATATCGACTTACAACAATCAGTATATTTGCAAGCTACAATTGTTAATAGGTGTTGTTAGATTGAATTGCAAGTGCTTAAATCATCCTGACAAATGCAGAAAGGCTCTCAGAGAAAACACTTCTTGATTTCACTTCTTGTTTTTAAAGCCTGGATAGATCATCCACTAGTCATGTGACAGGTCAAAACATAAATTAATTACTTCTGTGGTGCTATAAAATTCCCTGAAGTCTCCTGAAATGCACTGCAATTCACTTTGTAATCCACACATGCAGGCATAAATTAAATCAACTCAGGCTCATTCTGAAAATATACCCCTATATACATTTCTAGGGAGTGCCAAATACGTACCAGGAGCTATGTTTTTTTTTTTTTTTTTTTTGCAGAGCCCACTGTAAACGCTTTTTCAGATCTCACATTTTTCTTCTGAGAACCATTCGCGCCTGCTACTTTCACGTAAATCCACTAGAAGCCACTGTCGACTGACCGACCCACCCACCTCCTTCTCTAAACCCAACCGATAGTGTTTTCAAAAGCAATCCAGAAAAAAAAAAGCCATCGCCTGATTTGACCACATTTTTAGATTTTACTACATTCTCTATGTAACGTCGGGGAGTAACACCAGCAACTGAGGTAAAATCCAATATGCAGGTTTATTCAGTCAGGCAAGCAGTGGTCAATACGGGTGCAAACAGGTGTGTGAAGACAATCCAGAATCATAGTCAATATAACAAGCAAGAGGTTGGAAGGCAGGTGGCTTAGGGCTTAAGGATAACTAAATAAACAAGGCTAGGTTCAAAACACAGGAAAACAAGAAAAGGAAAATGCGTTGTAATGCTACTTTACAGTAAACAAGCCTCAGCACACTGAAGGGGTGAATGTGTGGCTTAAATAGTGTGTGTTAATCAGTCTCTGAAAGTCCTCAGGTGTGCGAATGTAATCAAGCTAGATGAGTGAGCAGGCGTGAGTGTCTGGGAGAAGTGCATGTATGCATATGTAGTCCAGAAGAAGGCAGATTTGTAGTCCATGGTTATTGTAGGTGCAAACCAGCGATCTTATGGGAAATGATCGCTGGTAATCGTGACAGTCTAGCTGTTATTTACTTGTTTATTTTGATAAGGAACAGCATAATACCACCCCATAGCATTTGTTTTTCAAGACGAAATGCAGCTGTACGTACTTATGGCAACATAATTCGCCATCTTCAGAAATGTATATAGAGCTACGTTTTCAGAATGAGCCTGTGAGCCAATGAGTGAGCCAATGAGTTTTTGTGATGCTATAAAATTTCCTGAAAATCTCCTAAAAATGCAGTGTAATTAACTTTGTAATCCACACATATGTAATTCAGATAAAAACACCCATCAGTAGTAAAATTGCCAGTGTCTTACCTGAAACCAGAGGTCACTGTTAGGTCATTACCGGAAAACAAAGAACTCATTTCAGATGCAGAAACCTCGTCTTCTCTCTCATTATGGCGACTCATTTTAGAGTTCTTCTTTCATTCAGTACACGAGTGCGGTGAGTTAAATGCTGTAGTACAAAGAAACAATATAAAATAAATAAAGAAGTGTCCCTCCTGATGTAAATACAGATTTAAAATGGATTACACTGCAATATAGTGTTCATCGATAAATTGTAAGCCATCAAATTGAAACAGATTCAGGGTCATGACTCTTGTGTTTCCCTATTTTAGTCATGTGTTTCTCTTTGTTCCCCTTCTGTCTTATTAATAGTTTGGATCACATGATTGCACTATACATGTTGATCAATCTGTGGTTTCCCAGTACTGGGATGCGGCTGGAAGGGCATCCGCTGCTTAAAACATATGCTGGAACAGTTTGTGGTTCATTTCACTGTGGCCACCCCAGCTAAATAAGGTACTACGCTGAAGATAAATGAATGAATCAAACTGAGTATTTCATGTAAATAAATGAATAAATAAATAATAATAAAATAATTCATTATTATTTCATTATAGTCTTGTTTTATGTCCAAAACTTCGTAAATCTAAAGATGCTGTTTTGTTTTCAGATATAAGAAGATTTTAGTGAGTTTTTTTCTCAAAACAAGCTAAACTTTTTGCCAGTGAGGAAAGCAAAATAATCTTATTTCAAACCAAAAACAAGATATTTTGGGGTATTTGGGGTATAATTTCGCTTTAAAACATTTTTGTTACTTTTAGTAATATTTGTGTCACTATTCAGCTCTGAATTTAGGTCTACGACTTCAACAAAAGTATATATTTATACACTACACTGTAAAAAATGCAGATAATCTAATCTAGTAATCTAGAAGTGATACAAGTATTGCTTTAACTAAGTCTTTCTGAGATTTAGAAACAGACTTAATTTGCGCAACTAGTCTCAACTAGATATATCTCAACTTGTAAATCAAAACTGATTCATTAAACCATAAAAAAGACAACTCCAGATAACTATTCCTGAACATTCCACATAGAAAGAACATACATAAACATACAGGGGCACCTGCAGGATTTTATTCCAAGGTACGCACAAATCCAGCACCGCCCCGCCCCCTTCCGCCAGTCATGTCAGGAAACACTGATGCTTGCTGTCAAAGGCTGCATTATTCAAGGGCATTCGTTATGACATAACTTGTTTCCTTTTTAATTTTAATATTTTGCTGAAATCTAAATGTAATAAGCACATAAACACCAAGGAAAAATCAGACGCTCAAGACGTAATCTTTAAAATTATGACATATTTAAAAATTTGCATATATATGACAGAAAATTGTGATAAAATACAATTAGCGAAGCATTGATTAAATTCTTACTTTCCACTAAACGAAAATCCTCCACCCGCACAGTTAAGTAGTGGACGGGCTCAAACAAAAATAAAATTTGTAGCCTATATTTTTCTTAGAAAAAATGTCTTTTTAAAAATAATTTCATATATTGTTTGTCTCTTTGTTCAAATATTTCACTTGGTCAGTTGTCTTCTAGATAAAACAGAACCAATAACATTTGAAGTGAAGTGCTTCAAAACCCGCAATATGCTTTAACAATGCCGAAGCACAAACTGAACTGTCAGATAAAATAATAATCTAGGCTAAATTAAATTAAAGTGAAAGGTTCAGTTACAGAGAAGCCTAAATTAAACAGTTTTCCCATGTTGCGCCGGTCAATTACACTTTAATTAATTTAATCAAATTATGTGAAAGACTGTAAACTGTAAAAATTGGCCGTTTTCTTATATTATTTGTACATACAGTATATGCACATATATGGGTACATATATATTCACCTATATGTTAGCAAAATTTTAAAAATGCAGCTGCTAGACCACATTATTTAAAAGAATTGTTTATTTTTATTTACTTAATCAAATAGTACAATAAATAAATATAGTACAAGAAAAAAAAAGAGAATAAACAACAATAAAGGAAAGAAGAAAAAAAGACAATTGTGTTATATATCTTTCTTTCCCACTATCTTCATATTAGAAAGAATTGACCTTGTAAATGTTTCAGGAAAATGTGTAGACATCATAGCTTACCATCTTCTCTCACTTATTTGCCATAGTTAAAATCCATAACATGCCAATTGTAAGTGATACCAAATTTACGTGGCACATACAGTACATACGTTTTTGCACTTTTTTAAGTTAGTTCTTAGTTGTTGCCTTGATACTAAAAAATATGACCTAGTCAAGTCATCATGTATGAAAATTGCCAAAGTGAGATATGAGCTATATCGGAGACAGATCCTGTCCATGAAAGTATCTATGTATGTGTGTATGTGTATATATATATATATATATATATATATATATATATATATATATATATATATATATATATATATATATATATATATATATATATATATATATATATATATATATATAAATAATATATAAATTATCATATATGTGGATATATACTGCATATAGATTTCATATATGCACATACATCCTCATATAGTTTCTTTCCATGTGGGATCCTCTACAAGACTTCTGACACTTTGATCGCTTTGAATAAAATGATAAATTTGCATAAATAAGTTGATAAAAAATGTCTTACCACAAAATGTGTGTCATATTTCCAAGTTTTAAAGACTAGAAATGGCGTCTCTTCTTAAGTTCCCCCACTCTCTCTTTAGTTTTTACTTTGCATCTTTTTTTTTTAACTCAACTAAAATAAAACACAAACCTGCTCCCTCTAGTGGCGCAGAGCGTCATCTCAGGTTATGATGAGGTCAGGACTAAACGTAACAGAACTAAACATACATTCAAAATGATTACTTCATGGTCTTTGTTAAAAAACAATCACTTATTGGTTTTATTTTTGTCAAGTTGAAGTAAATAATATAATTAAATTTCATTTAGTGATGTTATCCTTACAACCACCCTATATTTTGCGATAAAAAATAGTTTAAGCTATTAAAAATTTGAGGTTTGAAAATAGTTAAAAAAAAAATGTAAGACCTCAAATATCACCTGTTTGACTTTTTTTTTTTTTGCTTTAAAGTATTTGTTTTAAGTATTTTTAATAATGGTTTAGACATACAAGTACAAAATCTGAGAGAGCTAGCTGCCGAGTAAATTCATACTGGGCTTTTCCTCCCATAGACTTCCTTTCATATGCATGCGAAAAAGCTAGACCGGAAATGCAGGGTCATGCGTCGAATTTTGCAGGTTGCTGCGGTCCAAAGTTCAAGCTTGGTGAGCTCTGACCATCGCATCACTTGACTGCGTGAGACCAATCGAGGATTAAAACATGACCTCTCTGGACAGACATTTTAAACATGGAGCAATCGCTTGCTTTTTTTTAATGTCTAATCTTCTCGTTTAATCCCACCCCATTTTGCAGAGCCGCACAACAGAATTTTGCAAGCTCAAACTCTAGTGTGACCGCAGCTTAAGAGAGCTAGCTGCCGGCTAAAACAGGCTGGGGTCAAAATCAGGCGCAATCAACAGCATAAGGACTCATCCAATAGAGCTATCCAATAAACAGGCAAAGGTCAGGACAGGCAGAAAACAGCAAGTGACGTCACTGTGAGAGGTTGGGTTAGGTGTAGAAACCTATAAGGAGACCTCATGCAGTGTCAGTCTACAAGATCTGGATTCTTTCCCATTGATATATAATTAAATACTGGAATGAACAAGCATGTCCACACAGGCACATGAAAGTGCTTTAGCTGATCAAGACTGGTCTTATTTGCTCTTGTACTGTGACACTTTCACTGAATTAAAAATCTTTTTTTTTCACTTTTATGACAGTTCTAAAGAAAGTTTCGTGACTACAGGCTTTCAAGAAAAATACAACTCAAATATGCAAAAAGCATGCATAAGATCATGTTTTGAGAACACAAAAGGACTTGTTGCATTGGTATTATCTCAGTTTTGAAGTTTTTCGTGGTCCCCGTTGGTCTGTTGGATGACCAATCACAAGATTCCTTGCATTACAGATGACTGCTGAGGAATACAGGACACAGCACAGAATTATGCATTTAAAGATCAAATGTTTACCATGCTTTAGAACAGGAGTGTCAAACTCAGCCGCAGCCCTCTAGAAAAGTGTTGATCTAACTTTGTTGGAAGAGGACACCATGACACCATGACTTTCAAAGTGTTAAAATAACTATCTTAGAGTTGTTTTGGGTCCCCATATTTGCTGTGTACACAGTTTAGTTCCAACCCTGCTCCAACACACGAAAGCCCCGGGTCACATTGCACTATTCTCTCCATAGACTTCCATTCATACGCAGATGAATGCGGCAGACCAAAATTGCAAGCTCAGGCGACAAGTTTCGCAGTTCACTGCGTTGAAAAGTTCCCGCTTGGTGAACTCTGACCTGCGAAATCGCATCTGATTTTTGCGTGAGACCAATCGAAGATCAAAACATGACCTGTCTGGACAAGAATTTTAAATGTGGACCAATCGCTTGCTTTTTAATGTCTAATCATCTTGTCAGTGCTGTATGACAGAATTTCGCATGCTCAAACTCAAGTGTGACTGCAGCTTTACCTGTTTCAAACAAGCCTCATTCATTCATTAATTTTTGACTTAGTCCCTTTATTAACATGGGGTCGCCACAGTGGAATGAACCGCTAACTCATCCAGCACCTTTTTACGCCCTTCCAGCTGCAACCCATCAGTGGGAAACATCCACACACACTATGGACAATTTAGCTTACCCAATTCACCTGTACCACATGTCTTTGGACTGTGGGGGAAACCAGAACACGTGGAGGAAATCCACGCAAACGTAGGGAGAGCATGCAAACTCCACACAGAAATGCCAACAGGCCCAGCCGAGGCTCGAACCAGCGACCTTCTTGCTGTGAGGCGACAGCACTACCCACTGCGCCACTGCATTGCCCCTCAAACAAGCTTAATTGACTCAATTAGTTTCTCATTATCAATTAGTTTATCATTTTTGACTCATTAGTTTCATCAGTTTTAATTAGAGTTGGAACTAATCTGTATAGAGCTGCGGATCTCCAGGAACTGAGTTTGACACCCCTGCTTTAAACTGTTTCAACCATTGTAGTCCTTAATTTAAAACACTTAAGTCAGAACTTAAGAATCAGTCTCAAACTTTACTGAAAGTAGCTTTTAGATTCTTTAAAAAAGTCTTATACTCTTAAAAAGGTCCTACTTCCTATTAAGAGTTTTTTTGACACTTAAGTCAAAGTTTAAGAAGTTTACTCTTAAGAGCATTTTTTTTTTAGAAGTTCTATACATATGGCCCATGGTTTTACTTTCATTCTTGTATTTATCTAGAGTCACTTGCCTATATTCCTACAGTAACTTCACGTTTGCTGCTGCTTCGACTAATGCTGCTGCTCCTCCAACTGATGCTGATCCTCCTGCTGCAGCTACGGCTTTTCCTGCTGCTCCTCCTCCTCCTGCTTTTACTACTACTGCAACTGCTCCTATTGCTAATGCTCCTACCCCTATCACAGTTAATGCTGCTTTTCCATAGTCTTTAGCTTTCCGTTTTAAAGCCAGCCATTCATTTTTTTTCTGGACCTTTCTGTACATCTCATTAGTGTAGTGCTTTCCTCCATTTCTCTCCACCATCTTCTCAATCATCTCCATCAGTTCAGTGACCTGCGAGCGGTTCTCCTCATCTTTATTGTTGAATGAGTGATATCTCCGACCACACTGAGAAAGAAGAGCCCAGAGATCTGCACTTTCACATATGTATTGATGTAGTGTCTGTCTTTCCAGTGCATCAGCATGAGTGAACAGAATGACGGTGTATCGAGCAGCTTCTTCTCCAAAATCCTCCTGAATCCATTTGACTGCATTTTTCTCTTCATCTGTGAATTTCACGTCCAGTCTGATGACCAGCAGAAACACATGAGGACCAGGAACAGACATCTCTACACACTTTAGAATTTCCTTCTTCATTTCTTTATCTGTCAGTCTTGTATCAAACCGTCCTGGCGTGTCGATGACGGAGATCTTCTTTCCATCAATCATGGCTTCTCCTCTTTCACAAGTATTAGTAACTGACTCTAGTGAAGCATCATTTGTAAACAACTGCTGGCCCAGGATGGTGTTTCCAGCTGAACTTTTTCCTGATCCAGTTTTACCCAACAGAACAATCCTGAGGTCTGCAAAGACAAGAGGATTATATTATTTCAAGACTTAACTTCACACTTAATGCCTAGTTCAGACTGCGTGATTTTAGCCCCGATTTTGGCTCGCCGACAGGTTTTGAGAAATCGCCGACAAATGTCTGAAATCACAGGCAAATCGCTGCTCGTGCACGTGAGTGACAATCACACAGTATGTACGATCAAAGACGCGATCTGAGAGAATCGCCGATGAGTCGCCGATGCCTGTGAGAAATTTGGCGTGCTGAATATCTGGAGCTGTCGGCGATTGAAATCATGCCGTGTGAATTGAGTTTTGACTGAAAATAACATCAGCGATCGCCTACAGCCAATGAGAGAGCAGCTTTCACTTGTGTGGGTGTGCACGTTTACCTGCTGCAGGCCAGCGGGAGGCTGGGGGAGAAGTTAAAAGCGCTCTTTTTTCGGTTTATTTGAACCCACGAAATGGAGGAAAAACTAGTGGAGGTTTGACAGGACTCAACTGTCTGTTTGACGTTTCATACAGAAAGAAATTAGTTTATTATCAACGTTGAGGAGAAATGGCTAATTCCGTTTAAACCCAGGTGAGCAAACATGTACATGTTCTACCCCATTAAAGGCTTCTTTCTCATTATGTAGTTAATAACAAAAGATATACTACGTGTTTTTGGCTGTGAGACATAGTTTGGACGAAGTTGTCGGCGATTCTTCCTATAGTAAAGTCATGCAATGTGAATATCCCTGTCGCCGAACCATCTTGCAGTGTAAACAAAGCAGCGACGAAACGCAAGCCCAGATAGTCATGCAGTGTGAAAACATCTGTGACATGACTAGTTTGAAAATCATGCAGTCTGAACTCGGCATAAGTCGAGTTGAGACTGCATGATTTTAGCCCTGATTTTCGCCAACAGGTTTTGAGAAATCGCCAACAAATGGAGACACTGCTCGCTGCAGAGCCATTTGAGCAGAG